ATAAATATACACCGCTCCTTGGAGAAGAGAAGATTCTCTTTCGTTCTATTATTGTAACACTTATGCAACCGGCTCGTCAAAGGGGGGGGGGGGGATTCTCTCCGGAAAATACTTATATTTGGCTATCTATTATCATGGCAATACGATAATCTGGCTGGACGTTTTTGGTATCATTATGTTCAGCATGATCTTCAGCATCAACTTTTGACAAAAAACAGACTATATCCATCGTTGTCATGGAAACGGCGAAAAAAAAGAACTTGATTTTTACAACGTGTTAAATTTGTGACGTTTTATTTCAGAACATGCTTGAACATTTAAAAGAAATTAAAATAGCACGCCACAATAAAAAATATAACATTAACATTTTTAAATTGTTAAACAATTAATCTTTACAGTTCAGTTTGATTTTTTTTTAAGTTGGAGATATGAAAGTTTGTTAAATACGGTTTTCTTTAAATTGGTAATTTTGTATATAGTCACATAGTGTAATAAATAGCGTAAAATGAGTTGTGGATGCTACATTGCTAGCATACATGTCTTTATATTTCGTTTTGCAAAGACACAAGGAATTTACAAAGGTAAGCTAAATAATTTTCATGGTATAGATAGTGTTTTTTTAACTGCAAAATCAGATGCTTTTTCACATCTTCCATAAACTTTTTTTTCCCAGAGAAATTAATTGCTATGTGTGTGCGTGAGACGATTTGGAAATCCGCATTAATCTTCTAAAAAAAGTTTTGGAAATCAAAATAACTAAAGGAAGCGTTCCAACAAATACAGAAATTTTTCAAATTCCATATTGCCTTTTGCCCCTTTTCTATACCTTTTGAAGATCATCGTTGATATAATTTTAACACTTTAACATTTTTTTTAATAATTTCAGCTGTGAATCGTCATACAGGATTCTCAGTATATGTTTTCAATGAGTCATCGTATACACCACCATCTACTGGTGGCTATAAGGTTTTCTCTCAGAATACATCATCCTGTCCAAATGAAGTGATGGATGTAACAGTAAACAAACTGGCTAAAGGAATAGCTCTATTTATTTCAAAAAACCCTCCACTTAACACAAGCTGTGCAGGATACAAATCGTTATTTGCTACTATTGAGGTCTGTGAAGTAATAGTAATGGGTAAGTACTGTACTATTTAAAGAGAGGCACTGGCAATATAAAAATAATAACCAATTTATGTAGTATCTATTATAAAACGAAATTATTTTTTGAGTCTCTACTCAACATGAATTGACATTTGATTAGTTTCTTCTAGGATGCATGTTTCAACACTACGGAAACCCCTGTAAATTATGTTCAACTAACTGTTTAAACAGAGAGTGTGATGCCTTTGATGGATCTTGTATATACGGCTGCAGTGAACGCTTTGTATATCCACCAGACTGTTCTAGTGAGAAATATACTTTTATTTAGAAAGAAATGAAATATATGGAGATAACGAACAGTATTCAAGCTCAGAAGTCCATTAAACAATACCAAATAGGAGCAGATTTAACTATAGCATCATAGTTTAATTGCATAATTTCATTGTTAGCATTGTATACATTAATTTCTTACAATTGTCTAAAAATGGAGATTAATATCATAAAGAGCAGAACTGGTCTTCAATCATAATTTATATGGTGAAAAATCTGACACACTTTCGACGGCAATTAATAAATCGGGTATTTTAATAAACGAGTCTTTATACAATGTAGCCAAGAGTGATTTCCTGAAGGAATAATATCAGATATAAAATTCCTGGTCCTTTTAGCCAAGTGTGGCCACAGACTCTGCACCTAATTTCAGTATTCAATACGGAATTTTAGTTAGCACATTTCATTTTTGTCGCAAAATTACATAGACGTCATTTTTATTAGAAAAATTCAGACATAACCATGGTTTAATTTTCTATAGAAATCATAGATTAATTATAGCATAATCAATATTTGTTATAAATTAAGAAAAAATAAATAAAAAAAAAATACTGCATGTTTTGTAATGCATAAAAACTTCATGATTACAAGTATCTTTTGTATTTTTTTAATCTCGATCTTTAATGCAACACTAAACTACGCTACGCAACTCAATTCATTCAAATATAATGTTACAAATGTACAGGGTGTCTTAAATAATATGAAACCATTTGAAAAAAACTGCAAGAAACACGTGCCTATAGAAGAATAAATGCAATTTTAGCAATTAAATATTACAGTATAGATTTTTTTCACACAAATGGAAAAGTATTGCCACTAAATTACATAATAAGTTTGTTAAAAATTGCATTTCAATCAAAAGGGGTTTATCCCAAGAGCTAGAGACTCTCTTTTTGAAACTGTTATTAACCAACCCAGTCCGAGGTTATTGTTTCTTAACCAAAATCTGAATCCTTTATTCATTTAAAATGTACATCCCAATGAAAATTCAGGAGATAACACCCAAAACATATTATGATGTCGAAAGGAATTTTGTACAATGTAGACATGATCCTTACCCAGGTAAAACGTCATTTAGAGGACATAATTTAAAAACCAAAAGCAATTTTCATACTTTTTTTCTTAAAGTGTCAATCAATTCGTGTGAAAAAAAAACACAGTGGACAGAATATGCTATGTTTATAATGTATATGTTGTAATTTATAATTCATTTAATAATGCTTTACATAATCATGAAAAGGTATCATATACTCTGGAAAACCATATATGTTGAGAAAAGAAGACTGTGACACCGCGGTTATTGCAACAACCAAAAGTATGCTTAAAAAACATTAGAGCTGGGTTTTTTTTTTCTACTTTTTTATAAGCGTATTAAATCGTAATATAAACAATGAATGACAAGTGATTAATATCTTAGAATACGTCGTTATCATTACTTCACATATCTACACAGTAGCTAACGTAAACGTTACCATTTAGAAAAAAAAATCTAGAACAAGCGTGTTGTGTTAATGTTTAAAGTATGAAAAGTTTATATAAAATGTATAGTGAAATGAAAAAAAAAATTGTGAAGTGGATATAAAAAAAGTTTTGTTTTATTTTTCTTTTTAATATTATTATATCATTATTATGTTGCGGTTGTCCTTCAGTCGAACACTCTTGGCTATATGAACCCGGAATTTCATTTATGTTCTATTATGTTACAGTTTTGTGGCTCTAGCGGTAAATGGACGTCGAAAAAATGACAAATATTTTCTTTGTTAAATAGGATATATTTTTTACCCAAAAATGAGTAGGGAGATATATATATATATATATATATATATATATATATATATATATATATATATATATATATATATATATATACGAGGGTTGTCCAAAAAGTTCATGGACTATGGCGTTTTTGTCAAAATGAATGGTTCAAGATATGCTTATTGCATACCAAAATATTAGTTATGAAAATCCAACTCGGAATAGTTTGGTTTTTATTGTTTGAACTTAATATTTTTGTAAAAATCTCGGTCATTAAAGGTCGCCGATAGTGCGTATGGACCAGGGTTAAAATGCCATGAACTTTTAAATAAAATGATCTGATTGAAATGATTATTTTCTTTTTAAAACGAGTCAAAGCTGAATGAAAATTTAATATATCACAAATAAAGCGGTTATCGCCATTTTCTGATACCTTTAGTATCACTTACTAAATAGACAATGAAAATATTAAGTGAAAACCGCAAGAAGTATGTTTCAAAAATTGACAGAAAAAGCGACGTCGGCCATCCGAACGGGACAGCGTCCAATCATACAATTAAGGTTAATATGGTTGAAATGTCGTCAAAAGCAAAATATTTATTCAAACAACTTAAATTTATTGGAAAATATTTACTGATTTGTAATTGGTGTATACGATTTTTCAACGGTGTGTAAAATTTCGGAGACACTACAAGAAGTGGAAAACCACTGTTATTTGATGAATTAGGATATATTCCTATTCATGACGTTGTCATAAATATAGCGCCGTCGGGCTGGCCTGTGCATCCTGTGTTTACAAAGTGTTAATATTGATGATGCTAGTAAATTATTGTGTATTGTTTTGAACTTTAAAATTTAAATTAATTATAATCTATACATAAATATTATTGCACACATTTGGCAATGTGGCATAATAAAGAAAAATAGCATGCGTCTATGAACATGCGATAAAAATTCAAAATTCATATTTCTGACGTTATCATGAAATAAGCGTTACGTCAGACTGGCACGTGAGACTTGCATATACAAAGTATTTACACCTATAATGTTCAGTAAATAGTGTGCATTGTTTTAATTTTTTGTACATTTACTCAGTCATGGTCTATATTAAGATATTATCGTACATGTTTGCCATAGCGGACTTTATAAAGAAAATTAAGCATTTGTCAAGGAACTTTTTGGACAACCCTCGTATATATTTGTGTATGCTTAATATTTCAGAAAGTTTGATCGCGAGGATTAAAATGCAAAAGTGTGTACTGATATTTTCCAAGAAAAATCGAAATCGTTTTATATTATCATTTTCTCTTTGCTGAGGATAATATCTACAGTGTCTTGCATGGGGAAAAAAATTAATTAAGATCCGCCAGTTTTCGTTTTGTTTTGTTTTTTCTTTGGGTTTTTTTTTTTTCCTTTTTTTTCTTTTTTTTAAGAACTACTATATAAAATGAACAAAATATGCTTGAAAAGATATTACATTTTAAACTTTTTAGAGGGTTTTTTTTTCCCTTCGACTAGGGAGTTAAGGAGTTTAGTCACATTTTTTTAGCGTTCATATCAACATTTTCCTTTGATTCACCTTTGAGTTCTCCTTTTGTTTGTTTGTTTGTTTGTTTTAAATCGAATATTTTATATTTCATAAATAAAAAATAACTTTGATGGGAATATTAGATCATCATGAACAAACATTTCAGGAATGGAATGGGCAATTTAGATAAGATGTTATAATTATGTACTTATTATTTTCATCGGTTATTTTCTTGTTAAGTCTTGTAAGCTTGTTAATTAGTTAACGTTTACCATAGCTTGTAAAAATGGCTATTATGGGCAAAACTGTGCACACACATGTGGCAAGTGTAAAATTGGAACTGTATGTAACCGTATCTCAGGAATTTGTCAAGAAGGCTGTCAGAATGGCTGGAGTGGATCAAGTTGTCAAGGTTAGTCTTGATCTTATTTTCATAGTATGACACCGAAATAAATCTTTGTTGAATATGTTGTATGAAGAACATTTTTGTTAAGTTTGCATGTCAAAAACCTAAAAACTTAACATAATTGTAATTTGCTTTTAAAAAAAATTTCAGTTGATATATTGTTTTAATATTTTACTTTAAATATTTTTAGTGTGTGATGATATGTTTTACGGGGAGAACTGCACTAGTAAATGCGGTCATTGTAAACCTGGAACATATTGCCACAATGTGACAGGGGTTTGTGAAGACGGTTGCAATATCCACTGGAACGGTTCTCATTGTGATGGTATGTGATTCTAAAATGTATAAGCTTAAACATGCCAAATATGACAGTAAAATCGCGAAATATTTTAAAATTCACAATGTATCACACCTCGTTTCGAACATAACATGTATAATTGATAACTGATATGAAGAGTATTCCAATATGATTTTTTTTTCTATCCCTTTATTTAATACTATTCAATTCATATTTAAAATTCTACAAGAATATTGTCTAAGACATTAGTAAAAAAAATTAAAAAAGTGATATCTTGCGTTAACGGCTTCAATGCTCTTGAATTTGTAAAAACTGAATTTATTAATATGTGTATCTGTATCAGCTTTAATAAAAAAAATTTTAGACAGTATCTTTTTTAACGCGACGGAAGATATGGTAAAGAAAAGGAAGATTCTCTTTGGTGTTCTTCTTAATTAATGCTTAAGCTAATATGCTTTGCATCGTTCATTTTGATATTTGTTTCAGGCAAGGTATTCAAATGCTTCAAATGAGCATATTTTGATGCCAAAAAAAATCAATAAATAAACTTTTTAAAATAATTCATTAAAGAGTGTAAAGATGGATTTTATGGATCCAGTTGTGGTGAATCTTGTGGATATTGCAATCAAAGTACATGTAATAAAAAAAACGGACACTGTCTCACTGGATGTCAGGGGGAGTGGAAAGGTGTCAGATGTGATGGTATGTGTCGAGATGGCTAATAACAATCCATAATGCTTCTTATTCTCTAAAAAAATCATTGGAAATATTTTAAAATACAATAAAGGCGAATTTGAAAATATAAGCAAAAAACCTTTTCCGATATCTTTAAATTTATGAATGCCTTCCTATTTTTTGTAAAACAGTTATTCACTGTAGCAAAAATAATTCATTTTAATTAATTAATAAATTATTATTTACTATAACAATCACCTTTCTTTTAGAATTATCATTGGATGTTAAAAGTAGCCTAGGATCGATTGTTGGAGGGATCCTTATAGTATTAATTATTTCTGCGGGTTTTGTGATTTGCATAGTTGTATTTAAAAGGTATATTGCTAAGAAAGTGTTTTATGTAGTTTCACAATTGTTTAGAAAAATGTGTTTTGTAATTTAAAAAAAATATTCAAAATTTCCTATTGAAGACTCTTATGGTTCATTTTATTCATAAAATTCCATCCTGTAATATAGTAAAATATGAAAAGTATTCTGCTGATGAACATGTATTCAGAAAATGATGGAATATACACTTAATTTTATTCTCCTTTGAAGACGTCGAAATTTGCAAAATGCATCAAATGATAAAAGACGCCTGACAGTGATATCTGAGGGGGGATGTGAAGAGAGCAAGAAAGAAAAACCATCAGATTTGAAAGGTTATTTTCAATTATTCATAACAAAATGTTAAAACAGACGTACGTATATTCTTCTCAGTATATATAACAGGCCTCCGCAGAGTTCGACCAAAACGGCTCACTCGCATCAGCTGTTAAAAATTATGAAGAAAAAAATGCATTCACTGTACTTATATCTAGATACATTGTCGACATAATGTATATTATATTGTGAGTAGTTGTAATATAGTTTTGGAATTACATAGAGATAAAATTGGAAAGATTTTTTTATCCAGCTCTTATGTGCAATAAACCATGTTTACCCTGCTGCATTGGGAGCATTTCAATTACACTGTGATAATCAGGGATTGTTATATTTATGGTTAGACAAATATAACAGTAACTGTTTATTCTTTCTAACCATTAAATTCATCGTATATATATATATATATATATATATATATATATATATATATATATATATATATATATATATATATATATATATATATATATATATCTGACATATGGCTCCAGGTGACCAAGGAGGATATATTTTCGACTTAGGGAGACCACTGGATTAAGGCGACCTTTTTCGGTCTCCCTATTATTTTGACCTCATCAGTATTGCAAATGTCTTTTTATAGATAAATAAACAGTCTGCCATTAAATATTATTAATCTTTAACTCTGTTATTTAACATTCAAAAGTTGTCTAATTTCTATCATCTTCCCTAAAAAAGAAAAGAATTTATAACCTACGTATAATTTCAAAGGATAATTTTTCTGCATTTTGGAGACCATGAAAATCATGCAATTAAACAAAAAATCTAGCATATATATTTTTTCCGCTTTTGATTTGTTCAAATGAGTGTTTCTTTAACTTAGTTTTCCATGTTTTATGTTAAAAACCTAAAAAGGAAAAATATTGAAATTTAGGTATACTATAGAAAACATTGCTCCTTTATGCTTGGGCCCCCTCAATAATAACCTCTGATAATGTATTTTTCTTTTGCTTATTAAAAAATTTTTGGTTTGTAGCCTCCCCCAACCTGAAACTGAAAAATGTTGTTTGGTTGTGCTCACCCCCCCCCCCCTTCTCCAACTAAATTACGTACGGGCCTATTCTCCATCCCTGAGGTTTTCTTTCACCAAAGAAAGATTAATTGGTAACAGTTCGGATATATATAGCAATATTTACGGAAGGGAATATTCTCGTTTAATTATGAAGATGTGACAGTAACTCAGTCAAAGCCACAGTGAGTGTAACATTTATTTAATATTATTGTTAATGTTTACAAATAGTGAAATACTGATACTATGAAAATTTAATGGATAACAGTATAGAAAATATACAAGTACAACCATTTATTGTAAATCGCATACATGAAAAGCTTCTTTTTTTTCAAGCAATTGGAAATTCTTTATTTTTTCATGAAATTATTTTATTTCGTATGTATGATAATTTATTTCGTATTTTAATTCAGTCAACAAATCATTGTCGCAGCCTAGTTCCCTTCATTATTTTCAGCAGTTCAGTGACAGAGATAAAATGATCATTTGAGGTTTATACCCCCCCCTCCCCACCAAATGAAACTGAAAAATGTTTGGTTTTGGTCCCCTTCAACTGAAATTGATTCCTACTTACCATGCTTACAGGCTAACTATGAAGATGTGACAGGGAGTGTAATAACAATAATTGTTCAGACGGATACATATTAAGCTGATATACGTATCAAATTTTAATGGATAGATAGAAATTAATAAACAATTACAACCATTTATTATAAACTACATAAAGATAATTTTTCAAGCAATTTGAAATTCTTCATTTTTTATGATAATATTTTATTTCGTATATATATGTTTATAGGTTTATTCGTATCAACAAATCTGTGTACGAGTTAATAACGCAGCCTGGTTCCCTGCATTTTCAGTGACAGAGAACCAGAATAAGATTGCAGGGAAACAAGCCTTGTTACAAGGTTTGAGGTTTGTTAATTTTTTATTTTAATTTACACTTTTTAAAAATTATTATTATTATGCAAAAATCTGTGTGCAGATGAATATTTACATTTTAATGTTATACAGTTGTTATAAGTCGTTTTGTGGTTCATTTATTTGCGGTGACTGTCCCACGTGTGTTTACCTGTTTACATTCACCTACTGACCTAGAGTCTTCAAAATATACCTTCTGTAATCATGACTGTTGTAATCTTGTTTTTATGTTAGTCTACCGTATGTAACTTGACTGTTGTATAGATTTATAGCGATCACTGCAAGCTTTTAATATTTAGGTGAAGAGAAATTTCAGACTATCAATCACAGGCACTTGTTTCATATACGGTGCACCCCTACTTATTTTTACCACAAGGTATCTAACTCAATTTCAGGCACCCCCGCTTCAAGCTCGTATTTTGTTCATGTATCATTATCAATCATTAACCTACTTTAAAATGACATCGTTCGCTTCAAGAGACTTTTTTCTTGTCAAATAAATCGTTTCAGACGTCTCTGGTCAATCCTCTTTATTGTAAACCACTCATTTATTCCTCGAAAATTACCTCGATACATTTTAAGACTTTAGATGGGATACAACTTCCAGTTGGGGGTAGAATAAAACCAGAGACTTTCGAGTATTCCATTCCGAGGTCTCTGGTTTTATCCTTCATTTATAACCCCAACCGCAAATTTGTATCGAAAAATTACCTTGATACATTTTAAGACTTTAGATGGGATACAAATTTTTTTTTTTTCATAGGTCACGAGGTTTCAACTTAAAAAATAAAAATTCTCACCGTCAAGATATGTTGGAAATTTTAGCTTGATGTGTTGATAATTTGCCAAATTATTATGTAATAAAGGGGACTTTATATGATCACTCGGCGCTGTCGCTTTAGTTCAGTCTTCACAACAATTCTTTTTCAGCACATGCCCTTCGGGCATGTTGACCTATAATTTTTTCCCAGCCCATTCAAATTTGTACATGTCCTACTCAAAATTCTTACATTTACCAGTATTGTGCAACAAAAAAAACCATTAGGTATAAAGATTTTATATTAATTTTTTCAGCGTCGTAAACCAACCATGGCCTGTGCTTGCCATTTTCTAAAGCGTTTTTGTTCATAAATAACTTTTGAGTTGCATGCTGGTCATTTGTTGGCCGGTTTAGCTGAACTGAATTTCAGAAATGGGATCATGACTGTAGTGCCACTGTATGTGGCATTGATGAACATCTCGAAATTTAGCAAGCAACTTCGAGAAAACAAATAGGTTAAACTAAACACGTCAATGATTAGATTGACAATCATTTGACAGGTCGTATCGAGAATGTAGACAGGCAATCCATCGACAATTACATATAGCAACGTTTAAGCGAATAATGGGGGTAGTACAGAATAAATGGCAAGTAAAGATCGTACAATGAAAGAAGATTCACATATGCCCTATTCGGACATGTAATTTGGCAATTTTTACATGCCCGGCTGCAAATGTTAACAGGTCCTGGCATTGGACTCCCGGGTTATTTGGAAGACTGTTAGTTTAGTTTCATGAGGTCCGACAACATTGATTCTCAATGTCTGCTCCCTCTACCCCATACACTTATCTTGCTAAAATTATATAAATTATATTATTAATTATATAAATTGATATAAATTATATAAACCGGTCTTGTTTATATAATTTTACAATGTCACTGCTTAAGTGCATATAATATTGTAAATGGATTTATATATAGGATGAGGGAAAGATCCTCACTTGATTATGGCAGCATATTTAGCTCGTAGGAGTTTATTATCTACCACACATGATCAATGTCACTTTTGGACGTGAATGACTTTTGACACCCTAACTTCAGTTCAAATCAACGTTAACTTTATGTGACGTCTCTCTGAATCTTTTTTGGCATGTAACTTGGGTAAAAACAATTAAGTACTCTTGATGCATTTGATTTCTCTTAGCCCGTTTAAACATTTCCAAGGTCTATACCAGTTTTTGCAGTGGCGAAACTATGTAGAAGTTGGAAAAGAAACCCATCCCCTTTTTGACGTATTTGGTTTTTGAGGGGTGAAAATTTTCAATGTTACACTCAACTACATGCAATATTTATTATATTATACTGAATGTTTTATACAAATACAAATAATAGTGAACCTTGAGCGCATAAATCTGCGCAGTCACTGTTTTTTGGAATATCACCCGTTGTCAAGCAATGTTGACTGTTGCGACACTGGGCGTAGCTTCATTATTCAGCGGAATAAGTTAAGTGCTTTTTAACAAATGTTTCTTGACGAATCAGATTAATTCATCTAATATACCTGAAAGTACAATATTAATTAATTGTCATCATTTTCCTATAT